TCTGCAGATGGTAGAATGAACCCAGGGCATATGTGGAAGTTCTGAGATGAAAACTAATGACAGTCACATGCTCAGTTTGTTTGTAATGTATGAATTAACAGAGATCGGATGAAATCGCCCAATTTAGGGTCTATTTATATAGGAACGTAAAGATAACGACACGAGCCCTTGCCGATTTTTCAGAAAATATTATTCAACGTTTTTTAATGGAACTGTTTAGGAAAAATATCGTTGGAGACGTAAGTTGGGCGAGACTCGTTCGTGGAACGGACGAGCTCGTAGTCAATATAAACAGTTCCATTGAAAAACGTTGAATAATATTTTCTGAAAAGTCGGCAAGGGCTCGTGTCGTTATCTTTACGTTCCTATATAAATAGACCTTAAAGGTAATATCCTGACATTCGTCTGGAGGAACAGAGTAAAATCGAGGCTTATCAAAATGCCAGTGTCCCGATTGAAGTTGAAAGCCGGCCACGTCTCATGTCGGGCGATAAGCCGTGCAAACCTTTCCAGAAGCTTTTCCTGCCTCCATCGTGAGTGTTTTTGTCACATCTCGGGCGATCAGTAGTGTCAGGATGGTGTCGTAATGCATTTCGAAGACGGGCTGTGCTATAACATCAGTGTTTATATTACGAATGATGGAGGCAAAGGTAGCCTCTGAAACGTCGGATTAAAATGACATTTTGACACTGCTGATCGCCCTAGAAGACTATAGTGAATTAAGTCGCCGCGAAAGCTTAAAATCTTACATCTCCTTGGTTTATAGTATAGTAACCTAAGGTTGGCAGACTTGAGTGGAGATGAGTAAACAGAGAGGATCTCGAGGAAAAACTTGTGAGCCCGGTCCATTGCGGACTCTTCCTCAATATGCTCTGCAGCAGGGGTGGGAAAAATCAGTCTGCCCCATCGCTGTGTTTGGATGTTATCAGTACTTGGAATGTTTGCAAAAAGTCGCCAAGAAAAGTTTAAAAAAAATCGTCTGTCAGGTTCGCCATGTCTGTGCGTTCACTTGTAACAACTCGCGTTACTTTCAAGCAGACAGTGTAGATAAACGTAATCGTAGATTTATGTTATCATCGTCATTATTATTTGATTGATTTTTCTGCTTGTTCCGATTACAAGAATTGAAAACATTTCCTTCATTTTATCTTCCGTCCGTGACATTTTCTGCCCTTTGGTTTAATTGATAGAGCTGCTTCGTGGGATTAACAAGTTTCCAAATGAAGCAGATATTTCTTTTGGCAGTTTATAAAATTATTTTATTGACTACAAAATTTTCCATCAAGAACAAGAATAAATAATGCAAAGTAACGCTCGTACATAGCACATTTTTATTTGAAGGTGTAAGAAATCAGCATATAAACATTAAAATCATCAGTTATGTTTTTACGAAACCGCAAATCGAAGACACGTAAACATGTTTTGCTGCGTTATGTAGAAGTACATGTAAGGTACTGATGGATGAGTGAACAGTCTTGTTTCAGTGAATTGTTTCCACAAGGAAGCATATAAAAATCAAAATCAAAAAGGTTGTGTAACGAAAATTATTACCATAACTTATATTTGCTTAGTTAAAGAATATCACGCGATTTAATGTATAGTAATCTAAAATGAGATCTTATATCTCTTATAAAAATTGTGATTTTTGTAACACATGTATCCTGCTTTAACAACATTACGAAATTTCTTAAAAGCAAATGTTCACCATGACATGGCAATGGGTTACACAACACACATGTTCATATACAGTGTTACATAATGCCCAAAACCCCTTAACAACAGCAACTGATAATTAACGAACTAAACAACCAACAATGCTTATTTTATAGAAAGTTACGTTATTCCCAGTTGTTCTCTAATATCTCCAATGCTTGAATGATACACATTGGAGCACCCCTGCATCGTATTCTGGAAGTCCTGGGTTTAATTTTCTGACCGAGAAGGAAGACAAAGCGTCAACGCTGTAACTTGGAATCTGGAGGTAGCATCATGTAGTCTGGTAGAAGTTTATCAAAGTTTCAGAGGTCCTTGCTGCCTTTATCATCAGGGCGATGACTCATCTACCAGACTACACGGTGCTACAACCCAGAAGACAGCCATCTTCGTAATCGCCGTGAGAACCCCAAATCCTGCATGGAGGTACCTGGTTCGAATCCCCGCTATCATGATTAAGGGTGTTTGTGGTTGTCCTGGATTTTAAGAAACCTGTGGAGAAGATTCATTCTTGAAAGGAAGATACAAATGTTGTCCTCAGTAATCTATTCTCAAGCGTTCTCAATCTATGCTCTTCGCTTATTGTGAGACCAAGTTGCACATTCGCGTAAAAAATAAGTAAATCTGTAGTTTTGTGTTCATAGAGTTCCCGGAAGTAAAGACAGTTCTGCACTAACAGGAAATTACTCAAAAAAGTTGTACGCTGAAGTGAAGGAAGATAAATTGTACAAATGGCAGAGTTTACTATCTTTCTTTAATTTAAACAAAGAAAATAATCAGAAATGTGATTTTCAAATGGATTGTTTCTGTTGTAAAAATTGACAATTGGAATAATAAAAGTGACATCAATGTAAGAACGTCATAACTCTGTGGCAAATCTGATTTTTTTTTTGTCTAAATGACCTCTCCAACAACCCCTTAAGTGTTTACCAGAGATTTGAATCACCCGGAATAATAAAATTTTGAAAAATTTCTCTGTCCTTGCCTATAATTGTACAGAGATTTGAATTACCCTGAATAATAAAATTTTGAAAAATGTCTCTTTCCTTGCCGATAATTGCACAGAGATTTGAATTACCCTGAATAATAAAATTTTGAAAAATGTCTCTGTCCTTGCCGATAATTGTATACTAGGCTCTTTTCATGGAATTAAACACATTTAACTGTGTCTGTCTGCAACGTTTTATTTAAAAGTTTGTTCATGAACATATAAAAATAAGTTGTTTACTGGACTGTTGTCATGCCAGCTCTTATCAGTGATAGTTCAGAGGGGACCTGTTTGTACTAAGTCATGAGTGTCAGGAGGATGTTTCTTCTTATACAGTTACTGGCATACCACAGAGTTATGTACTGCCGTATGAACTGAAGATAATTCACGCGCTAAGGATCATTGCCTCCAGCACATTACAGTATTTAATGACGAATTGAGTACTCGTTAGGAGTCAATATGAAACAACGAGTCTAGGCAGACTGCCCCTTTTTAATCGTTTTCGAAATTAAATATGACTTGCTGTATGTTCCACTGTCTCCAGACCTCTAGGGTCATTTATCTTTTATCTTTGGACGTAATTTACATTAGGGTAAAATTATATAACGAAGTTTGTAATAAATCAATTTGACTTGTGAAAACAAATGACTATAATTAGGCAACCGTGTCACGCAGTTGCATTAGGCAGCTCGTGCCCTGTATTAACTCATTCAGTGCATAAATTAAATATGGTTGCTTTGAATTTACGCCTTTTGTATGTTTAAATTTACTTTACGGTTTGACGTAATTTGATAGTTGTAACAAATTAAGATTTGTATATGATCTGAGCGTTTACGGCGACTGTCCCAGACTAGATCTCTTACAACTACAGTGCCCTGAGGACGAAGATGGTTCTCGAAACGTTGGTGTTTTATTCATTAAGCCACTTTACACGGCTGGTAGCCCAAGAAGAATTGATTAAATTCAGATTTTACGCGACGCAGAAATACTGACAAATGCGAGGGTCTTATAGTGTGCTGCAATTCTTAATTTTTATGGCTTCTGCAACTTTTTATAGTATAAATTCTGTATTCGTATAAGTTTTGAACTAATGTTTTAGACCATTGATTCTAAGCCTTGTCGTGCTCTGGATACACTTGGGATATAAATTTATTTTTGCGGTACACTAATTAGAGTAGATAACTAAAATTTATAAACAAAAACACCCATTTTTAAAATCTTACTCGGCGTGGTCGCGGTCGTGCGGAGTTTTTGTTCAATATTATTTTTACATTTTTCTTTGCTACGTTTTCTTGTAAGAAATCTGTCTGTATTTAGGGACACTACATGTAATTATTGCCGGTCACAGTGGCCACGCGGTCTGGGGCTCGGGCCTTATGCTTTTGGACACTGGGGCCGTGGTTCGAATCCCACTCAAGCCATGGATGTTTGTCCGCGTCTCTCTGTGTTGTGCCGTCCTGTGTACAGGCAGAGGTCTTGCGACAGTAGTGAAAGGACTTTTGCAAATTATTTGTAGCAGCATCTATCTGCAGTCCAAAGACGTTGGAATGCAGGTCAGTTGGTGATCAGTGTTGAAGATTATGTATACATGTGTATGTATATATATATATATATTTGTGTGTGTGTGTGAGAGAGAGAGAGAGATACGTACATATAGTTCATGCAAATTTATATGACACTCGATCAGTGTATTTAATTGCCAGATTCAGTATGCCAAACTCATTGACCTTGATGTGTTGTACATACTTGAAGCTAGCCGTCTTTATTTGATGAGTATTATTCCTTTGTTTAAATTCAGCAGGCATTTTATACTTCGTCTCTTAAGCTGCTTTCCAGACGACTGTCATAATATGTTACGCAACTAAATTTATCATCGTTTCAATGAATTTTCAACTCTGGGGGACACAGGCTAGTGACTATGCATGTTTTACAGGATCAGGCCGCTTATTTAATTGCCAGACCTCGTATGTACGGCACTGAACGAATTTATTTCCATGTGTTTCACATATATAAGCTATGTTTATTTCTTTGATGCTATTTCCTTGTCCCACAGATAGGTACTAATTTTGATATATAAATTAACCCCTTTCTTGTTTGCTGCAAAAGTATGTTTTCATCTTCAGGTTTGAACTGAAGATGGAGACAGTATGTTCCTCCAAGACGATGGCGTCTACCCACAAGTCCACATGGTTTCGCTACGCTGACGACAAACATTGATGTGTGACTTGTTAAACTGTGAAGACAACGTTAATGTATTTGCAATATGAAAATATTTATTAATGGTATGTCTTATTTTCAGCACTCGTTGGATCTCTTGCGATTGGGTCAACATTTTTCTTCTCCCCTCTTGCTGGAATCATCACTGATAGAATTGGGATCAGATGGACAACGTTTGTGGGCGGTGCAATGGCGTCAGGCGGAATGCTTCTCTCGTCTTTCTCAAATTCAGTAGGTGTATAGATATAGTATATTACACACGTCAAATTAATAGACAGTTTAAGATGGCTGTCCTCTGTGATGTAGCAACGTGGAATCTGGTAGACATTGACCATTCTTTCAGAGGAGTTTACTGCCTCCATGTTCAGGGTATATCACACAAGACAACCATCTTCACACTCATCGCTGTGAGGAAGTCAGACACCACCAAATTGCTATCCCAAAGACATTACCCCAAATTAAAAATGTTTCCACTATTGGAGCTATGTGCATGCTATTTGAATCCATGGGTGTGTTAGCAGTGACCTGGTTAACACGCTAAATGCGTTATGGCTATGACATACAAGAATGGAACGCAACGCTTGAAAGCTGACGGAGAACTGAGAGTCAGCTGATGTTGCTGTACAGGATTAGAACGGTTGTGCGTCTGCGCAGATGGGAAGTTCTGTTTGAAGGTCGAGTCAATTCGCCGCTCAGGCAGACAGTTTTACCAGATTGCTAGTTTTTAAATTTTAAAAGTAGCCTGAAAGCCTGCACAGTCCTGCAGGCATCGCTGGCGCTAGAGTCGGAAGGACACGTGCCCCCATTTTGCGGACCACCATACCACGTAACACAACATGAGCTCATGCTTCGCAGTAAACAGGAAATGGGGCGAAAGAGTATTTTTCCGCAACTCTCTTTTAGAATCTGTAACCTCCAATAAAATTCGACCTCGGATCCCTCCGCGCCTTCTCGTCGGTCGAAAACAACTCACAGAGAGTAAATATTAAAATTTAAATCACTTAGCTAAGAAAGATATAACTATTACACTCGATAAGATACTGATAATGTTTAACCGAGTTATTGCTCCATTTATATAGGTCAAGATCATGAGATTCGCACTTTGGTGTTGTTGACGAAGAAACGACACAGAGTAGAAACCAGGTCTACGCTTGGACTTCAGCTGAACCTAGTTTCTTCGTATTCGCGGAGGTCTGGGATTCAAATCTCGACCCGGAGACTGGCTATCCTAAATGAGGTTTTTCATGGTTTTCCACAGTCCCTCCAGGCAAATGTCTTTCGGCGCTATATAGTCTGAGCTACAGAAAAAGTGTCGTTAAATAAACTGTAAATAAATAGAAATTGAGGGTTGTGTAATGTTATAAATTGTGAAAGTTTACACAGGCCGGATCAGGCCCGCCAGTCTGGTTTAAAACATAACTCTGTTCGCTATATATTAATTATATACATGAATCTTGCAGTGTGAAAAAATCTTGCGTAATCTCTGAACGCCGTGGCTGGGTGGTTAGCTCTTCGGCTTCGTATTTGGGAGGTAATCTAAGGCCGTTGTTGCTTAGAAGCATATTCAAACAATTGCTTTAGATCAGTAGGACGGGGTGTCCAGGCTTGGTGGCGAAGTCCGGAAAGAAGTGGCCCGAGGAGCACAGTCTTCGAATGTGGCCTTGGGTTGCAAAACCGTTCGGGGGCAGCTCAGAACAGCGAAAACAGTGAAAGAAAAGCGAAGGGGCGATGCCACGTACGCCAATCCTTGAGGACAAAGCACCAAACTGAGGCAGCAGCACAGACCAGTGGAAGTCCAACCCATCGTGGTCGAAGCCCTGTGAGGGAAGAAACTGGATTTCCGGAGTCCTGGTGGGCTAGGGATAGGGTAGGAAGCCCAAGAGGCAGAGCTCCAGGAAGTGCAAAGAGCCAGAGGCCCCAATGATGCAAGCATCCTGGGGAGGGTCTGGGTGGCACTGCAGTTGGCTTTGCTACCCCGAGTGGCGAAGCCCCCACGGGCAGTCCCGGGCCTCTTGAGGCTTGGATAATCTAACCTGACATGGTAGAGGTAAAGGGCTGTCCAACTGGGCAAAGGTAAAGCCAAGACACGTTGGTGTTGGATTATAAACGTGCACTGCCTAAATATACATTAACAATACAAAATCTGTAGGACTGGAAGTTTGTGTAGTAGGAACATATGAAGATGGCTGTCTCCTGGGTTGTTGCGCCATGTAGTCTGGTTAAAGTTTACCGACGTTTCAGCAAGGACCTCTGAAACGTCGGTAAACTTCTACCAGACTACACGGCGCAACAATCCAGAAGACAGCCATCTTCAGACTCACCGCCATGAAAACCTCAAATCCTGCATAGGAACATACGCTTTGTGAGTGATTAACAGAAATCTTTATTTTAATTTTTATTCTTCATTTACAGGTGGAGTTTCTCTACCTGACATATGGTGTTCTGTTTGGGGTCGGTGCCTCACTGGCATACACACCATCACTTGTTATCCTTGGCCACTACTTCAAGAGATATTTGGGTGTGGTAAATGGCTTTGTGACAGCAGGGAGTTCTGTTTTTACAATCGTAATGCCATACGCCCTGGCTTTCCTGCTCAAAACAGTCGGACTGGAGGCCACTATGCTGTTCATGTCTGCTCTGATAGCTGTTATCATGGCCTGTGCACTGCTGTTTAAACCTTTACCAGGAGCCAATATTCCACCATCACCAAGTCGCACATCTAGGCTTTATAAGCACGGTGTGTGGAGCTGTGTAAGGAATGTCATCAATGTGGACATATGGAAGAAGAAGAAATACGTGATCTGGGCATTGGCAGTGCCGTCCGCACTGTTTGGGTATTTTGTGCCGTATGTACATATGGTGAGTTAGTTATCTGTTACGTATTGTTCAAATTAATTGATAACTTCAATAGAATACGTTTATTTAAGAATGACGTTTAAAGTTACAAATACGGAGACACAGAACTAAGATGGACTCCAGTTTAACTTTCTTTAATTACTTTTATAATTATAATTTTTATTGTTATAATAAATGTTAAAACCTCTTTGGAGGGATTAAAAGATATTCACATGAAATTTATGCATGGTTAAATGAATCAACTTTTTTGGAACCCTGTCATTTGCAAATTTCTTCATGAACTTATTCTTGCAGTTTTTGAAAAAAATATCAATAATATTATGTAACAGAGTACAAAGCTTTTAGTAATTTTAAGTTAATGGGTGATGTGGGCTTTATCGATGGTATTTCAAGATCCTTACTATCTCCGTCTTCAAGGAAAAGTGACCTCTCATTGGTTGCTTCAGTACTTGATAATACAGTTAAGCATATTGATTGGGGGTGAGCAGTTGTAGATGGAGTCAGGATCTTAGAAACATCAGCAAAGCATCCGACGTGCTTGGTGACATCAATAAATCCACACTGAACGCCTGAAATTCTCTATAATCCTACTTTTACCTTATCTTTACTTCGTACATTGTACTATTGCTCTATTTACAGAGTAAATTGAGGATGTCATGACACATAATTTTATCACAGTTCAACATTAATGTTTCGCCAACAAAAAAAAACAAATCCCACAAAATTTGTTATTGAATACATTTTATTTCTGCCATCATGTTGGAATGATTTCAAGTTGAATTGATGTTGGCAGCCTCAATAGTAAACAAATATGAAAACAATTATTAATGATATAACACATGTAATCAGTAAATATTTAGATGAAATAAGTTGTTGACTATGTGCACGAGTGTTGTGACTGATATTCTAATGAATGTGGTCATTGTTTTGATTACATAAATGTTGATAATTGATGCAGAGCCTGAAACAAAGCTTAATAAATTTTTGTATTTTTGCTTGTTATTAATCTTTCAGAGTTTGTGAATTGTAGAACAAGAAGGATTTTGCAGAAAGTTGTTGTTTGAACAAATAATATAAAATAATTCTTTCTTTATCCTTTTCACAATAATGCACACTTGTAGTTCCTACTAGTAGATACTGAATTTTATTATAAGGCTTGCAGTCGTTTCATGGGCATAAACAGACATTAAAATACAGCTGCTGGCTGTAGTTACATTTTCTGTTGATGTGTTTCTTCTGATACCAACAGAAGAATACTATTTTGAAAGAAAGAAAAAATTTGTTTCTTCGGAATTTATTTTTTTGTTCAAATGTTGTAAAAATATGTTTCAATTTTAAGTAACATAATTGTTAAATTATCAGATAAACTAGTAAATGAATGGAGCATTTATGTCTTACAGAATGTATTTCCGGGGTCCGCAGTGGCCGTGCGGTCTGAGGCGTTGGCCTTGTGCCGCTTGGTCGCAGGGACCATGGGTTCGAATCCCACTCAAGCCATGGATGTTTTTCTTTGTTGTGTTGTCCCGTGTACAGGTAGAGGCCTTGCGACGGGCCGATCCCTCGTCCAAGGAGTCCTACCAAAATGTCTATAGAGCAAGCCAACGAAAAGCTGAGGACCCGTAAAGGGTACCGGAAAATGTACAAACATTGTTAAACTGGAAAGAAGAAGAATGTATTTCCTGAATCAGGTGGACAGAATTATCTTTCTGTGAAAATGCTTTGTCTGATTTTTAGGTTATACTCTGTAGGGATCACCTCCTCTCCAAACTTCTGAGATCCTTTTCGTATCTTTTATTGAACTTGAGACAGTGATAATTAAATTATAACTTTGAAGCTGGATGTAGGCTTTACAGACCATTACACAAAGTATTTATTTACATGTAGCTCTTGTATACATTTGGCATTTAACTGATTAATGTTGTATTGTGAACAGCTGAAGCTGGTCGAAGATAATTTCAAGGATGGAGATGGAAAGATTCTTGTGATGTGTCTAGGCATCACATCTGGCTTGGGAAGATTAATATTTGGAAAGATTGCAGACATCCCAAGAGTGAACAGGATATTTTTACAACAGGTAGGTTCTGACAAAATACACTAATGATGAAAATGAATATATGAGTGATAGAATGTAGAAGCATTAATAAATAAAATGAAACTGTTATCACATTGATCAGTAATCTGATTTTATAACAATTTAATTGATTTTCTAGATATTTCTGCTTTTGATATTTCAGATTTCATTCATCTTAATTGGAGTGTTAACAATGTTGCTGACTGTAACAAACAAGTTTGAACTCCTGGTTGTGATAGCACTATTTATGGGGCTGTTTGATGGCTGTTTTATTAGTCTTCTTGGCCCAATAGCATTTGAAATTTGTGGTCAGAAAGGAGCAACGCAAGCAATTGGTTTCTTGCTTGGTCTGTGCTCCATTCCCTTGACAGTGGGACCACCAATAGCAGGTAAGATTATGCACAGAAGCCAGCGTACCTCTAATTCACGTGTCGTGGATTTAAAGCGCAACTCTTGAAGACGTGTGAATATTGACTCTCAACTTAATGGACTGAAATTATGAAACTAACTCATCATTCTGAAATTCTTATCACTGCTTCTTCCACTTGCTATTATCAGTACCACTGTTACTTCGGTACCATTATTACTACTAAGTCAAACCTTGTTAGAGTGCTAACCTTTGTCTACGGCAACTATTGGCTTTAAAGCAGGGCTGGTGGAAAATTGAATTTATGATTGGGTGTGTTTTTATTTATTAATGTATTAAAGTGCCGTATGGTGTGAAACATACTGTATCTGTGTAAGATTTGAGGTTTTCACAGCGGTGAGTATAAAGATTTTTGTCTTCTGGATTATAGTGATGTGTAGTCTGATAGAAGTTTACCATTGTTTCAGAGGTCTTTGCTGCCCTGATGAAGAAGGCAGAAAGGACCTTTGAAACGTTGGTAAACTTCTACCAGACTACACAGCACTATAATCCAGAAGACAGCCACCTTCAGTTGTATTTAACTTTATCAGAGAACATAATGTATATTATACTTGGTTATGTTTTATAGATTGTTATGTGTATAATTATATTTTGTATAGTTACTGTACGGCACCGGGTATTGGTTGGGAAGCCTGAGCGGAAGAGACCGCTGGGGAGACCTAGACGTAGATGGGAGGATAATGTCAGGCGGGATCTATGGGAGATAGGAGTCGAAGGAGACTGGATTTTGTTGGCCAAGGACAGGGTCCGGTGGAGGGCTTTGGTTAATTCGGTGATGAACCTTCGGGTTCGGTAAGCCATCTAGTTAGTTAGTTAGTTAGTTAGTTAGTTACTGTATGATCCCGAGTAGCTCAGTCAGTATAGTGACATTTTGCAGGTGACAAGCTACAAGTGGCGCTTGTATAAAATCTGGGCAGTTCTTTCAAACATGGCAAAATATTTCATGATATCTCTCATACTGTGTGTTCTAAGAACTCTGTAATGTGTTGAATAAGTCACATGTCTGTATGTTCACAGTATTCAGCAAAGCTGTGTTTTAATTACCAGATCCCTTCATTATGAAAAATACTAATTTCAATTTTAATAATTTCAGGGCTAATATACGACCACACAAAATCCTACACACTTCCATTCCTACTGGCAGGGATTCCCCCTATTGTAGGGGCTCTGATTTTGTTCCTGGTATGTTGTGTTCCGGAAGAAGATACCTGTAAAAGACAGCCATCACTGTGTTTAGTGGAGGCGCCTCTGCATGACTCCGCTATTACACCACTTCAAAATGATGCTGGAAATAGTGACGAAGGTATGAAACTCTCCACTGTTGCAAATGGAGTGTGCAGCAAGTCAGCGTCACCACCTCCCAGCTATAAGGAAGCTATGGCAGGTATGTGGGTCCAGATTCTATCGAGCTCTGTCACCACACCCTGTCATATCCCTGAATGCCACCATTTGTTAGCCAGGGAGCGACATTCCTATTCTCTAAACCACTGCCACAATAATAAACAACGATGTTATAGCTATTCTGTGTTGTAAGTCCTTTTCTGAGGTTGTGATATGTTTTAACGATACGTGTGTTCTGTTATGGCTGTGCCATTTAATGGACTGAATAATCAGTTAGTCATTTCTCAGCTGATTTTTTCTATTATAATAATAATTATGAACAAATTCATTCCAGACAACATAAAATGATAATAAATATTTTATGTCAGCAGTTTCTTATACTAGAAGATTGGAAAACATTAATTTTGGAACAACTTTAAAGCAGTTTAATCTGATTGTAACATGCCTATATGTAGACCATTCAAATAGATCTTTAAAGTGATAAACTTTTTAACTCCAACTGTGAAACACTCGAAATAAAGTAACTCTTTGTCACTCCCAAGTTAGTCTTTGTACCTGTAATACAGTTATACTGGAATGAATGATACATCAATTCCTGTCACATATTATGTGCAGTTGATAAAATTGACTGTATGGTAATTAAGTTATTTCCATTATTTTATTATGAAGGCCAATTCTGCAACGACTCTGTTCACATAATTTTATCAAGACTGTTAATGGAACTCAGTCTTTTTAAAAAAATATAGTTTCTGGTGACAAGGCTATTAAGCATGCTAGTGTAGGATATTTGTTGCTTCCAGTCACAGAAGTAGGTAGTGTATTTGCCTGAATTTTTTTTTTCTGTCCCACTACACGCCATGCAGGTGCCTTGGGGGGAATGGAGGTATAGCTCCTACTCTTTCTTGACCTTGGCACTAGATGGGGTGAGTGGTCAGCATCAAGCCCCGGCCTTGCTTTTACCCGTGGGAAAAGACCCCGGTACCCATTGGATAGGAGGCTGGGTGGGCTCCAGAGCCGGTCTGAACGCAGAGGCTAGAGGAAAAATCCTCTGCCCCCGCCAGGGATTGAACCCCAGTCGCACAGTCCGTAGCCAGTCACTATACTGACTGAGCTACGCTGGCTCATGTATTTGCCTGATTATAATACACATATTTTTCTCATCAGATACTCATGTAAAATTCACATCATCCCTGTGTTAAACAATGAACTTTTCTGTGTTTTGTTTTACAAAATACCTAACAATTGAATGTGTACAAATATAATCCATGGTCAGTTTCTATGTGATGTTGGGGGAAAATGAAGTATATATTATATTCTGGCAAATATAGCAATGGAGTGTGGTCTTGAAATAAATAGTTTCAGTGCATGGTATGTTGCATATTTGTTTTTTTAAAAAGTATTTTGTGATTTAATAATAACCTCTTTAAGAAGACTGTCTTGTAATCACTTTTTCTTCTATGCTGTGTTACAAGTAGCTGAATAGGTACACTTATCTTATACTAGAGTTCATATCAGTAACTCAGTATGTGTTTGCTCCTGCTACTGACTTTGTATGCCATTCTTTCTTTCATAGGCTTGCTAACAGCTTAAAAACTATTGTTTTATGTTTTCACTGTTATAATATGGTGAATTTGAATTAATGTATGACTGTTCAGTGTTTTAAGGGCAGTATATGAAAATACCTTAAGGCTACTGAATGATAAGTTAACAAATGTGTGTGTGAATACCATTGGTTAATGTACTGAATACTAGACTTTGACACCATAAAATGTGATATTAAGTGCCAAACATCAGTTTGATAAAATATTTTATGTTGAATATTTATAAGTTTCATGTTATTAATTGTGACTAGAGTATATTTTAATGCTACATCATACTGTATTTTTTGTTTGTTACTGACACAAAAATTTTAATTGTTATACAGTAAAATGAGACATTTTCATAACAATTTCAGTGTCTTGCCATTTACAATTCAATATGTAGTTATCTTTTTCTTTTAAGTTCAGACCATTAACTCATCCGTCCATGCCTTTAAAATATACTGATTTTGCATTATTGTAGATAACTACTTTAGGATTTGCAAGACTGAATCTGCTGTACTGAAAAGGAAGTAATTTATTACAGACAACTTTAATTAGAAGGATGTTTTTGAAGTAGAGAGATTTGAAGATTACATGCATTACGTGCACGTGATTGAATCAGAAATTAGAAATTGTTATACAGTTTGATAAAGAAATCATAGAGCATTAAGAAATTTAATAACTCAAAACGTGATGCTTGTGAGTGTTTTTAGTTCAAGGAGTTTCTGCCAGTTAATACACAACTTCATCATGAGCAATGTTCAAACATTGTTCCACTTACAAGGTGCATTAGAACATGCAGGGAATACCATTGTAGTCAATAAGTGAGGTTAGGTCTAGTCAATAAGTGAGGTTAGGTCTTTTGCAGCTGACTACACATTTCTACTCAGTCTTTGCTTTAGCCTTGAATACACATATTAGATATTTTGTGATTAAAACAATAAATTTACTTTGTTTCAGTTTGATTTAATTCCACAATTAATAATTTCCAGGTGAGGATTGAGTTATATTTTAAAAGTTTGATTTTTATCACAAGAGTGTTGATTATTTTTATTGACATATGAGTTAGAAGCTGCTGAAGTTACAACAAAACTACCTGCTGGACAGTAAACAAGCAGTCCCACTTGGCTTCAGTCTTTCATTTATCATGAGCGTATGGATCTGAACAAATAGCTTGGATGAAATGAAATAATTAATTGTTTTGACCACAGGGTCAATGGTGGCAACACTTCTGTATAGACATATCTCACAGGTACAAGCAATAAATCTATTCATTCCTCCAACCAGATACACCTACCACAAATTTTGAAAAACACCACTATCATTTTAGGGAAATATAAAAGTTCCATTCATTATAAGTAATAATGCAATAGGAAGTTGTAAAATAGTTTATTTCTTGTAAATGAAAAGCAGCAGTAAGAAAAGGAACGTTTTTTCACTACAGCATCATTAATTCTGTTATGAACACTGTGAACATCACTAGCAAGAGTGTAAAAATTGTAGTCTTATACAAAATCCCATAAAAGAAGACCAGGCATATGATATGAGGTGTTTATGAGGTGTTTGTGGTGAACACTGTTACTGTGGCGTAACGACCCTCTGAGAGCCAAAGCCGACTAGCTGGCTGCTGGCCTCACGTTCTCATGTCTAAGCAGAGGTGAACAATCATCCGACCAGATATAGAGTGACGTGTGGTCAGCATGACGAACCCCCAGCCATTGCTAGTTTTCATGACCAAATTGTGCTATCCATTGTAGCTCCCCAATTTCCTCACGATGCTGGGTTGGCACCGGTCCCATACACTGGTTGAAAATCTCATGAGAAATTTCTTTCCCCGAGACTCGAACCAGTGCGCATTCCGTATCACCGGTCTGAAGCATGATGCCTCAGACCGCGCGGCTACGGAGCGGGATGAACACTATTACTGTGTTTATAAACAATGGTACACTATTGTCATGCATACCATATGTTTTGAGTTATTAATTTCTTTATGCATTGAAGCATTTATGGACTCTGTAATGTAACACTTGATATGAATCTAATAGATAAGTTGTATTCCTCATAAATGATGGTCACATACAGTACTGCAAAAGTTAGAACACACTTGAAATGAAAACTCATTTGAATATGTTTTTTGCTTATGATTATGTATTTAATTAAATTATTTTGTATGTCTGCCATTACAAATATCTTTACAAGGAACTAGTTAAAATCTGACTGGGGAAAAGCATGAAGAAAGTGATTGTATTTAAGGGATGGCCAGTGAATTCTGACTTTTGCGCCAGTCTGTATAATAGTTCTGTGTTAGGGCAAAGTTTAGTCAACGCAAGACATAGTTGCATACTCATCCTTGTTTACTGTCACCTTCCCTACAAATATGCATTTTGTTACGAGTCTTAATTACTTTGCTGACATCTCCCTTTTATTCTCTTCACCATTGTGCTCCTTTTCATGCAAAACATCATATGTTGAATGAAGAAGCAGAAAAGAACATAATGATGGAAAGAGGACATTGTATTACTTTAAATACACTTGTAGACCGTTGTACCTGTCATTGAAATAAAGATCATTCTCAGAAACAAATAATTTATTATAAATAATCTGACAGCTTGCACTACGAGGGATTGGAAGTGGTTTGTATCATCCTGTTTAGGAATAAAGGTACAGTGTTACAAATGAAAAACATATAAGATAAAATATCAGTAGTAAAGTACACAAAGAAGGTTTGAGCAGTTGCAAATATGAGGACCAATAGATTCAATATTAATTTGAGGTGATAAATGTGTCTATGAGCCTCTGTCCTAAAACATGCTCTTTCTGCCTCATCTTCTGTATCACATGAGGAAAATTAAGAGATCTGTAAAATTCAATCAAAATGCTGTAACCAGTCAAGAGAGAATTGTTAATAAATAATTTTAAAATTGTAAGGTGATATGTATTTCAATAAATCATAATTTTCTTGTTTAAAGCAAGTGTTTATATTACTTCAATGATTTTTACTTAACACCTTTGAGAGAATGTTATATTGCCAGCTGTAATACACAGTTATAAAGCTTCAAAGTATCGTATATTAAGTAAATACCTGTGATGTATGTGGCCTGGGAAGTCATATGTTGTGCTACTAGGAGACTGAAAAATGTTGCGCTTATTATAATTTGATGTAAACTTTACTGGTAATACTTTATAACACTGGAAGTTAATAGTCAGTAACGACAAAACAAATAAATGAATAATGATACTATGAACAGCAGAGCAGCAGAGAGCAACAGAAATGTGAGAAATATTTTTGTACAGAAGTCATAACATTAGTTGGGGTTATCTTGTTATGCATTCTATCCTCCTGTTTGTTGCATGTTTTGACTCTGGAAGTGTGGGATGAATTTATATGACATTTAATATGATCATTATGCCACTGATGGCTACGCCAGACTCATAACTTTTATTTTTATGTAATTTATAATAACAACAGGGCAGATGCATGAACTTGTGAGGTGGGAGAAACACCAGCACCACTTACTAGGGTCCTGAAATGATGTACTGTAACAGAGCTTAAAAATGTGCAACTTTAGTTTAGATATTTTTGTTAAAGATTAATAACATGGTGACTGCATGAAATTTGTAATTAGCTTTCAGTTGGATGGCAATAAGCAATGAATTATTGCAGCTAGATATTTTAAATTTAGTTTGGTAATAGATGATAAGCTTAACTGCAAATTTGATATTAAGTATTGTTTATAAATTGCAATAAAAAGATGCTAATGGTCAAATATCAAATTCTTCCCAAGAATGAAATGACTTCTATTGCATGAATGACATGTTAGATATGAAGGACAGGCCATGTTTTGTTTGAAAGTATTGGAATAGTAGAAAGTTGAGTCACTGTGATCTGTACCAGAAATTCCTAAAGCAAAAAAGACCTCAGTTTTAACATATTGACTCAGCTTTCTTTTTCAGGTATTTAAAATGCTTTGGCCTAATACTTCATGTGTCATGATACTAGCTATAGCATATTTAAAAGGTTTATACATTTATCTGACTGATTTTGAGGTTATGTTGGAAGAAGGAGTAAATTGTTAATGTCATACTTACACTAGTTATGTGGATTATGGTTAATGAAAATTATGAAGGGTTGGGGCAGGAACAGATTTAGAATATTAAATCATAGTTTTCAGTTCCTAAGGACAATATCAGTTTAAAAAAATATTTGAAGATGAATTACTTATATGAATATATTAGATACAATGACAATGTGATTCAGCCTATCTTTCAGTGTGTATTATGGGAATAATTTATGAATATTAATAACTTTACTGCCTCATAAAAAATAATTAAATCTTTAATATAAGAAAGTTTTGCTGTAGTTCTATATAGGTGGTTACCAGTGTAATAAGGATTGTATCATCGCAAGAGTTGAACCTCATGTTGCCTGCTACCATTGCAATTGTCACCCTTAATACCAACATTTTGTAATTCATTTTATCTAGTGTGATATGTTCCTCTGAAGCATTGGTAACTACGTACATGGTGTTACAACCCAGAAGACCACAGTTAACATCATTACCACCATGGGAACCTAAAATTTGTTTTGCTACTGTGTAGTTTGTTAATTTTGGAACATATGTCAAATGCCTTATGTTATGTAAAGATTTTTAGTGTGCGCACATTTCTGGATTCTGCATGTATACTTGCACTCTTTTAGCTTCTTTTGTGTACTGTAGATTTGCATGAACATTTTCCATTGACAAGCTGTAACATATGCTGTAGTGCTTTATTAATATCTTAACATGCTAACAAGTGGAATATGAGGTTCGTTTCACAGTTCAAAATTATATCAAGTGCTAAATTATGAGAACAGTAAGATTAATACTCCGGTACCCAATAGACAGGAGGCTGGGTGGGCCCCAGAACCAGTCTGGGTGCAGAGACTAGAGAAAAATCCTCTGCCCCCATCAGGGATTGAACATCGTTCGACAAGTCTGTAGCAAGTCACTATACTGACTGAGCTACGCCAGCTCATAAGATTGATAGAGTATAAATTATTTTATTTTTATTCCATAGTCTATTATTGTGGTTCTAACAGAACTCCATAATATCCACCATTTTATTGTTTTTATTCACTGTTTCTCTCACTGTCCTTTTTAGTTTTGATTCTTTCTGGCCCACTAGTCCTGTCACTAGACATTCTTTATTCCACCAGCAAGACTTCCCTGTCATTACTGTACTCACCTTCAGTACCAACATTTTTCAGTTCAACTTACCCAGTATAATAATTTATGAAGATTTCGGTATTCTGGGTTGTTGCGCTGT